CGTAAATCTCGCCAAGCAGACTTTACTGGTGACAACATACAGTATACAAATTAAAAATTTTAGTTCTTAAGAATTGTTTATTTTGAAGGCATAAACATTTTAATATCGTTTGAAATTTTGTATAAAGCCAATAAATTGGTAAAAAGACAATTTGAGAATTTACTATGCTTTTATGGTTCAACATCCTGATTCACCGATTCATATCACGTGACCCCAAGTGATCTCATGTCACGTAAACTACGCTACAAAAGTCTAATTCTCTCAGTAATTATGTACATTAACTTCAAGTTAAATCTTAATTTGGAATACAAGTTTAACTGCAAAAATTATTTGAATTCGTACAAATAGCTTACTCAGAAATTACTTCACTAGTGCATTCTCATTACAATTTATAAATTTAACTTTGCCTTTTCTATATTTTCCCCATCAGGGTGATTGCATCCTAATTGACGTAATTACCGCGAATAACTTTAAGGTATAAAATTGGACTATCTGGTATGTAATTGTATGCCAGTATTGAAAGAAACAATCAGTCTGATAAGAAATGGCTGCGATTTGTTTTGAAAATGAGGCGTAAAAGGTTACGAGCGAGGATATTCCGTTTGGCATCGGTTGTACCATTATTGGCAACTTTATCGCCTGCGCCGGCTAAACGGAAAAGTACCAAAAAAAAAATTCTTGACTCATGCATTGTAAATTTTTCTTAGTGTTCAATTCAATAAATTATTTTGTGCAGTGCAAACGCAGTGAGCAAATTCTATTTCTTCCAGGAATGAATATTACCAGAGGTGTAAAAGTACTAACACACTCATTTTGGAATCCGAAAATGCTTCTTAAATGGCACTTGTAATAAATGAAACTCTATTGAATTTGCTCTTCAATATCAGAATAATAATACTATTAAATTAAAAGCATATATTGTTTAAAGGAAATGTTTGAATATATTAATCACTGAATTTTCGATACGATACAAGTGAATATATTTAACACTGATTACCTCGCTAGTTTTTTTAGTACATAATATAGGTGCAAGTTTAAAAAACTATTTTATCATAAAATGGAACACTTTTTAGAACAAAATTTCTAGTTATAGCATACATTTCATTTGAAGGTAAAATAATACTTTTTTTTTCCTTGGGAAAACTGTATTCATCTACCTGCAGTGTGAAAGCGATTAGAGTACATCCCGCATTCTAACGCCTTGAGCATTGGGAACTAGATTGAAAGGAAATCCTGAGCGTTTGCCTGCCTGCCGACAAAAGAGCACTAATCACCCACTCGTTAAGGACTCGATTTAATAATTTTTCCCCCTTTCCATAACTGCTGAGCCAAGAGCCCCCAGTGAAGGTACACAACTGTTTTTCGAGCCCACAGAAAAGGTTAAGTGATGTTCCAATCATATTACAATTGATCTTTCAAGACACAAGTCCACTACGAAGCATATTCTTTGAAATCTGTTTATTAACTTTCTCTTAATATAAATGTTATTATATTTCCTTTTTCATGAAAATTATGTTTGAAAATTTTAAATCCAAAGATATAACATTATATAAAAGCTATCATTTTTTTTTTTTTTTTTTTTAATGAAAGCAGTAAAATAAAACTTTTATATTTCAAAGTATATGCATAGACTAATTATAATTTATTTATTTCTGCATGCTATAGTTCAAACATAATTAAAATACAATTAATCATATTAAACTGAAAAATAAATTTAAAATATTTACTAACAAGAAGCAAATATTTTCCATAGTTAAACTCGTATATTTAAAAACACAAAAGTGACAATGTCAACTTAATTGCAGTAAAATTGCAACTTACAGCAATCAGGAGTCTGCAGAAAAATAGAATTAACATTTGCTAATAAAAGACTACGAAATTAATACATAATAACATTTAGGACTAAATAAATTTGAACACTGTAAATTTTAAAGCCAATTAAAAGTTAAGAACTACAATAAAAAACAGATTATGTACACACATTTTGAACATTTCATACTGACAAAATGACAGCTCTTGTCAACCATTAAGTAAGAAAACTGGATCAAATTTTTAATTATATACAATTACAAACATTTATATAAAAGATTAAACTAATAAAAATGCAAATCACACAAATATACATATACATTAGAAAACACACAATTCATTATGGCAGTGTCTAATACATATTTTAGAATTAAATCATAAAATATATATTCAAATATATACATTAATAATTGGCATAAAACGTTGTCTGTTAACTACCCTAACAGAAAGCAGCACACTGGAAAATGCAAATTTAACCATACTAAATTCAACATGAACAAATTTATTTCCATAGCAAAAGTTTTGCAATTTCTACTTCATACTTAAAATATTTTCAAAATAAACTTTTGTTGATATGTTGCAATATAATACTGCCAAAATTTTGAATTAATGGACAGATATATAAGGAACTGGGGGAAGTATATACATAAAAAGGTGGGTGAACTTTCTCTTATTTACAAAAATACAAATTAAGAAATAAAACTAGATAGCACATACATATTTAAGGCTATTTTTAATTGCAACAATTTCATGTATTTGCAAATAACAATGTAACACATTAACAGTTACTGTAAGTTTTTGCCAAAAACATGGAATTTCTGAATTATCAGTGTAATAAAAATTATACATATTCCAATTTAAAAATAGGTGCCAACATAAAGAAAGGAATATAGAGGTTTATAAAGAAAATAAACCTTTATGAAGTTTACAGAAACAATTTTCTATTCTTCATAAATACACAAACATGTGTATGAAGAATAAATAAGAACAAATATAGAAGTTAATTAACTTAATTTCATTAATTTTATTTGGTCCTAACTTTTATTAATCTTTAAAAGATTTTCTATATGGTTTTCACATCTTTACAAAAACTGATCTCTTATATTACTCTTCGTTCAAATTCTACTTTTAACTGCCATGAAAAAAATTTGTTTAATTTTCTTTCTAGATTTATTTGCTGGTGACCATGTAATATCTTCACTTTACTATGTGATTACAAATAAAACTGTGAGTAGTAATTTAAAATAATATTCAGCAGCCAACATAAAGAAATCTTTCAAATGTCATTTGTTAGTAAACTGCACACTGTTTACACAAATAAAAATCATACGAAGCCACTTCATTCCTCCCTAAATTATTAGCTCCATTGCTATACTACAATTAACAAATATTCGCAAAACTAAATTTTTGTAAATAGGATATCTATTCAACACACAATTTAAATTTCTTTGATGAATATAGCAAAATCAGATTAATAAATTTTATTTTGCTAGACCGGAAACGATTGACCAACATTTTTAAAATCTACTCAAACATGAACATTTTTGACAATCAAATAATTCATGAACTGTGTTTAAAAGAATGGATTTTGCACATGGAGAGAAAAAAAATTGTTTACTTACAAATACTGCCAGTACAGTGCAATGGAATGTTTCACAGTTATTTATTACAGCTATACAAATCAGTATATTAAAATTCAATAGATTTCTTTATTACTCAGATACAGCTGGCATTAAACTGAAACAAAATATAAAACTTCTTATATAAAATTAAGTCCTGAATCATAAAAAAAAAAAAAAAAAAAAGTCACCGACTATAATATCTAAAGAAAGTAACACAAACAAATAAAAGAATTAATATATGTTAAAAAAAATCTCTTCCTTGAAGATGCAATACACAATGTAAAAACTGTATATTAAAATTAAATACATATTATAGTTGTTAAAGTGACTAGGAGGAAAATTGCAGTAATAACTGCAACAAAAAGCAAACAAATATTTACAGGAAAAATATGAATTTTTAAGTTATAAATATGTTACCGTGAAAGACCGAAATTGGAGAATGTCGACTTTCACTGGAGAATATCAACATTCACCAAATACGTCGGTGAAAAACCGAATATTTCACTATATTCTTGTATATTCGGACCCTCACCGGTGTATGTCGACAATCACAAATATGCTCTGGTGAAAGTCGAAAAGAGAGGTCATAATGCCATAATAGTTTAGTTGTTGCAATAAATATTTGAATGACATAATTTAGTAAGTTTTAATTACTGTTATTTTATTTTCTCATTAGAACATAATGTATATTAAGTAAGTTATAACTTCTATATTTTCCTTTCTCATTTTGAATGTATTGTGTGTTTTAGGTTCTCATGTTCTCAGTTCTTTTTTCAAGTCTCAAGTGCGTTTATTCGCAACTGAATTACGGAAAAGAAAATATAATATTGTTATATGTTCAACATTCATCATTAGTACTATGTGAATGTTGACATTCACTGATTTCGATCGACATTCTCCAGATTTCGGTGTTTCACCGTAACATATATATATTTGTTTGATTTAAAACATGTGTGAACCATCATATGACAACATGCATAATGATGGAATTTCTCTGGGTTAAAATTAAATAAGTTCCAAATAAACTTAGGGATGTAGCATTTTGTTTGACAAAACATCTAACTATTCATTTTTTTTTTTTTTTTTTTTTTTTTTTTTTTAAATATTACAGATTCTATTTTTCTATTTGCTTAAAAAATTGATCAATATAGCAAAGAAAAGTTAATCAAGAATCTAAATGGAGATCTAAAAAGCTACTAAAAGCTTTTATTTTGAAAATAATTTAAGATATGCATGTAATATCACTGACTCAAATTTTTTTAATTAAATAAAATAAAAACTTAAATTTAATATATAAATTTAATAAGTTTTAATAAATTGTTTCCTGATGATATAAACATTAATTCTAATAGCAATATTTCCTGTAGTAATCATCACCTGCTTATTAAAACATAATATCTGTATGCTCCATATATACTTTATTACCGTAATATTAATTTTTTAATATTAGGCCATTTTTAAATATCATATTATAACATTCATAATTCACTAATATAAAACTGTTAAATATCCATCCATTTTAATAATGAAAATCTTTTAAATATGCTTTTCTCAAAACTAAATGTTATATTTAACAGAAAGAAAAAAAAATATTACAAAATTAAATAAAAGACACAAAAATATAAGTCAACATTTGTTTATATTATTTTTTTAACTTTCACAGATAATTTGAACAGTCTATCTCTTAAAATTTTTATTTTTCAGTTTTAAACATTTTAACTGTGTGATAAACTTTGGAATTCTTAATAAGCATTCCAAAGTTCTAATTAATACAGTAGCAATTTAAAAAATATACTAAAATCATCACACATTCCAGTTAAAAAGTAGTTAATTTTTAAAACAATTAACGGCTACCTAAAATATGACAATACTATAATGATATGGTAACACATGTTGCCAGAATATAATTCCTGTAAAGTTATAATCAAACAGCCTTTTAAATATTTTATTTTTAGAACAGTTTAATTTTATCATAATTCCTAATTATAAATTATTAAACACAGTTCACAATTTTGAGCAAAGAAGCTCTGCACTGATAGTGAAATACTTTTCATTCTTTTAAAGAGTTAACATTAAATAGGAACTTTTGCTCAAACATGATATATTGTTAACAACTTTCAATAGTATATTTATAAATGGAAATTTACCCCTAGAGATAAAACATTAGCAATATTCATAATATAAATAACAAATAAAATGACAATGCAATACTGTCCAAATGCATAAACTTAGGAAAACTTATGTTTAACTGGAAAAATATAATGCTTTAAAAATTTTTTTATTATAGCAATCATGCAAAACAAAAATATACTACTTCCACATAAAATAACATTCTTCTTAAGTTGCTTTTGCAAAAATTATGATTCAGATTCATTAAAAAAACTAAAACAAATTATAATGATAAAATCTCACTATGCATATTAAGTACAAAAGCTTAAGAACATGATTTATATATACTGCTTGTTAAAAAAGGCAAATGAATGCATGGCCTTATAGCAACAATAAACATTATAAAGGATTTAAAATTTTTAACACTAATAATTTTAAAAGCTTAATATGAATACACATGGCTTTAACATATTTTACAAAATTTTATCCCAGTTAAAGTCATCTTCAATATCATCATTATCATCTCCTGTACATGAATCAGGAGTATGAACTGAAGAAGAATTAAGAGAAACATGAGAAGGCAATGGCACTGGACTTGTCTGAAAACCAAAATATAATTCTTAAATAATCCGAAAATAAAAGTTAATTCTTAAAGACAGTGAAAATAAAAAACATGATTCTTCTTAAATACTAGTTTGAAAATAAATTATCATTCTTAAATGAAGATCCATATTAATAAGTATCTTCAAACAATAAATATTACATGATTAGTTCTGCTGTATAAACACCTACTGGGCAAAGAAAATACATGAAATCCATAAGCAAACAAAATACAAACTCATTTTAAAAAACATAAAAAAACTTTTAAAATCATGAAACACAGCAAAATTTCTCAGTCAGCCAGTTAAAATGGAGAATTTCAGTATTTTTATTAAGAGCAGCAAAGTACATTTTTCACATTTTTGCATAATAAAAGAGCTTTTAAGTTTAAACAAACTCATGTTTTTTAACTACAAATGAAATATAACACAATATTTTTTTTTTTTTAATATAAGTTTACTTTCCATTTATATCCATAGTAGATTATCCACATCAGTCAGTTTAAACAAAAAATTGTCCTATTTCTGACATATTTAAGACCATACACATGGCAAAGCCAACCCACACATGTGTATGCCATATATATGTGTTTTAGAACACAAGGGCATGAAACTTTTCACATCTGTGAAAAATTTCTGAAGACCAAAATGAAAAATTGGCTGCAAAAATGCAAAAACTGGCCATACAAACTTTTGTTTTATCTAGTAAAGTTTCTCGTTTCTTAAAAAAAGGGCTCCTCTTTATGAGTGGGTACATGCGGAGCTGAAAAAACAGCCAATCAAATGTTTTTCACCAATGAGTTGGTGATTCTTTGTGAGGATGCTGATAATCAGAAGGTATCAAAAATATAGTTAAATCAAATACTTCCTTGTTATTTTTTTAAATTTAAATTTATATTTTATTTTTTATTTTATTTATTTATTAATTATTATTATTATTATTTGTAATTTCATGAAAATAATTTTCTCGAGAAGAAAACAGCATTGAATCTTAAAAACCAAACTGTTTGCAACGATCATGTATTTTTAATTTACAGTTCATGTTTAATTTACAAGCATCACAAAAAATTATACATAATAATATCCAGTTTATGTATTGAATAAGCATACACAGTAGGTAATTTAATAGAATGTTTTAAAAAATTGTATTTACCTCGGCTGGTGAATGATAAGATAAATTGCTGCTTTCAGCAGAAAATGCATGTGGTGAATTGTTAGAGTTCTGAACAGATGAAAGCATGCATGAATCTGAAAATGATAAAATATTTTAAACTACTGTATCTTTTGTATAAGATTTAATTTAAATGCCTTATTATGTTACAGAGTAATGCATTTTCAAGTCTACACTGTTAAAAAAAAATTTAACTAACATGACTTCATATATATGGTACGCAATTTCCCACAAAATAAAGTTTTAAATAATTCATAAAGAATTCTTTTACATGGAAAATGTTCTGGAGAATCACATGTTGCAAATTCTTTCATGAGGACCTGCTTGCTGTCAATCATGATCGCAAATATCTATACAGGCATCTAATCATCAGGACTAAAGCAACATTAAAAAGAGAGTTGAACAATCACACAGATAATTTTGTAATGTTATGGATGGAATCGATAAGCATTTACTCAAATACTTCTTCTCACCTAAAAATGCATTAAAGCAGTGATTCTTAGTCAGTGGTATGCAAGGAGAAAAATTGGTGTTAAAGAAACAAATTATTTTTAAGCAATTAAATTCAAAAATCTCGTGAAGAAAAAGAACAATTGATAAAAATTTCCTATGATTGAAATCTAACAGAAGATTTAAAGAATAACACATCTGTTAACTTTTCGCTAAGGGGGAAAAAAAAAAAAAAAAAAAGAATTTAAAGGCATTCAAATAAAGCTATCAAATGTTTATTGCCTTTTTGCACAAATTACTTATGTAAACAAGTATTCTTTTCCATATTATGTTTGAAAAATATACACAGAACAAAATTAACAGTGGATCCTAATTTACGGTTAAGGCTAAGTGAAATAAGACCAGACATAAAGAAATGATCTCTCTTAAACAGATCTAAATTTCACACTAAATTAGAGAATTAAAGTATTATAACTTGACTTTTGATAATTAAAATAGTAACCAATTTTTAACCTAAAACATTTTATGTGTGCATATTTAATACAAATAGCTAATAGGTTGTGCAAATTGCAATATATACATATACATTTTTAAATATTTTATTGAGAAACTGAAAAATAATAATTATAAAATGCAGTGGAGGTACCAAAGTTTTCCAATATTAGCCTAGATGGTGCATGTTAGTCAAAAGGTTGAGCACTGCTGCATTAAAGACATAAATATGATGTATCCCTTTAATAACAAGTAAATGTATAAAGTGTAATAATTAGGGTAATGTTTTCCTGGGAAGCATATGGACTCATCATCTTTTTAGAACAATTATCCATTTACAGCTATTCTTACTGCTACTGCCTCCAAATCAGTGGACATGAATCTAATCAAGCCTTTCTAGAATGACTTTAAGAAACAAGTAGCATTACTATAACTATATAAGTTATCAGGAAATGACATATCATCAATTGCAATTATTTGAAGTTTTGAATTTCTGCTTTATGGGGTACTAACTCATTTGTTGAGGAGTAGAACACATATATCATAAAGGATTACACTAATAGGCACAGATTTTTAGATAACAGTAATATACAGCAAACAATTTTTACAGGTCTAATTTTACAGCATTAGCCAATTTAAATTATATAGATACAAGAATGCCTGTTTTACTTACCAACAAAGAAAAGATAGATCATTAAAAATGTTTAGCTAAGTTAATTCTAAGAAAATACTGTTTAATAAGTAATTATTTACAGTATTCAAATAATAATTGAATAATAATATTTAAATAACATATAAAACAAATATATAAATTAATTTAAAATTTGCCATCTACTCATTAAATAAACAAATAGCATTATCAATAATTTAGCACTTTTAAATACTTAATGACACCATTCCTTTTAACTATACACACTTGTAGGTATATGTGTGTGTTTAAAGTGTGTGCACATGTGTATATACAATCAAAAGCTGCTATAATGAACTGGAAATTTGGTTCAGAATATCTAGTCTTCTGTTATATCTAATTTGGTAAGAAAAAAAAAGAAAATCTGAAAGCTTCCAGGTTTTAGATTACGGTCAAAGGAGGTTTAACGCTTTGTGTGTTACCTTCATTTTTTAAATATTATGTTTTTTACACTTAAACCACATAAAATTCAATTCAACAGCAATATCACAAAATATTTAGAAACAGCACAACAGCATATCTTTAGAATTTCTGATAAACAGTCTCGCACCAAGTGTTGTTAGTGCTCGCTTTGAAATCGAGTTTGCTAATCAAAAATTCATTTTTGATTAGCAAAGTTTTACAAAATTAGAAATAGATAATAAGACAAACTCCAAATTCAAAATTCAGGCTTCCAAGTGCCCATGTTTGGTTGGAGGACTACGTTATTAAAAATTTGATGGCTTGTTGTTTTTTTCACATTGCAAGAAAAGGGGGGAAGGATTATTAGCACTATGACATCTCTCAAAAAAAAAATATATATATATATATAATAATAATAATAATAATAATAATTACTCTAATTTAAGGAAAAAATAAATTTTATTATGGTTAATTACAATTCTTATTAAGAACAATTACTAAATTTATTTTCCCCCTTTTTAAGTTTCATCAAATATTAATAATTTTACACAATTAATTCTTAGTATAAAATTATAGTTTAAATCTGTCCCTTCAATTACACATCTCCATCTAAAATACATACTTATAATTAGCATTTGCCAAGACAATGGCAGATTGATGTTTGTTTGAATTGTGAACCCTTTCAACAATGCTTGCTTGGCCTATTTAAACTTTTTTCTTGCATCCAGTTTTTTACTCAGTGTCAGTTTTTCCACATGATATCCAACTGTAGATTTTGGTAAACTGTATACCTGACAGATATTGGTTTGACTATAGCAATTCATTATTTTTCCTATAATACTCACCATACCTTCAACAGAGAATGCTATATGTTTACCGCTCAGAACACAAATGAATTTCGGACACCAAAAATTTTCCTAGTACAGTGCGAAAACAGTTAAGCAAAAGAATATGTGAATTTTGCCATTTTGGAAGATATAAAATGTAAAGAGAATTTTATCACTAATTTGCCCTATCCAATATCCAGTGAAAATGCATTTATTTTTCTCAAGATACATACATTTGCTGTAGCCCTTATAAAGAAAATCCTAAATCTTGCATTAGATCTACAGAATGCATCCCCCCCCCAGAAATAGTTAGAAAACAGAACTTCAACAGCATTTTAAATGCTACTATTATTTATTACTACTATTTCGCTCCTTGAATGGCAAAAATTTCAAAATTTCAATCACACAGCATCAACCTTGACTAGAGCTCTGTTTACAGCTTTTTATCTCCCCCCCCTCAAGAAATGCATGGAATCAGAGAAATCATTCAAGCTCTTTGACTAACAAGGTCACAAACACCATATGATAGTTAAATAAATACTTATTGTGTCCTGGTTCTCCAAGAACTAGGTGTTACACCTACTTGACATAATCTTTGTTTAGAATATGCAGAAACTTGGGGTGAAGGTAAAACATATAGTAACAAAGTGCTTTTGCTCTGTTTTAAAATGGATGGAATTTTAATATCATAAATATGGATTATTTTAAGGCTAGAAATTTTTCATTTAAAACTTGCAGAAAATCTCAAAAAAATTACAAAAAAAGGTTTTAAAATGTACCTGAATTTCATGCATTCAGAAGTTTGCTATAGCCACATAAAATAACACTAGATGTATATGTTACTAGATGGGGCCAAAAAGTTAATTCGTTCTATCCAGAAGTTTGTTCTAAACTACATTTACTACAGTTTGTTACAAACTACGTTTGACTAGGTATGTAAGGTGAAGGGGGGGGGGAATGTAAATCAAAATTCTTTGCAATATTCTCTTAGCTCTCCACTTTAATCTGGTTACCCTTTCTTTCCTAAAAATAATAACTGCTTATAATAAATCACTCTAAACCACACCATTTCAATATGAGACTATGTTATATGATTCTTGCATAATGTTAGTGATGCATTTCAATCAATAATAAATCCAAATTTGGGTACTGAAACTTAAAACTAACCAACACCTATAAAGCTTAGCTAAAACTAAATCCTTCTGAACTAAGTGTTCATCTTGGACACACTATATTCCTCTGCTCTGTCGAAATAGTTACGAAAATGGAGAAAGGGTACAAATGTGATCAAAAATGGAAATGCATATTGTGCCTATTGCACTAAGTAATTTAAGTTAAGAATGTGAAATCTCCCTAAGATATCTATCTTTCCAGATGACTGCGAACAGAAGATATCCATTTCATGGGTTGCCTGACAGTAGAAGTTAATGAATATCAAAGTTCAATTTATGAGATGGTGGTATTCTCACAGGCAACTGTCCATGGGAGGTGGACATTACCATGATGATGTAAAGGAAACTGAATTTTTTGCCTGGGAATATCAGAGTTATAAGCCAGTTTTTTATTTTTATTTTTATTTTTTATTTTCTTCCAAGGGGAGGAGGTAGAACTATCACCAGAAAGGCAAAACTCAAGATATCCAGGCAGCTTATCTTTTATATTAAGTGATATTGTCCAACTTAAAAACACAGATATTTTTACAAAAAATGCAATATATTTTAACCTTTTCCTCAAAGCTGAACTCAGCTATGTAAGTTTTTTTGCTGCATGCTATTATGATGAAACATTTTGTTTAGAAGCTGAAACAAACAATCTCGTATACAATTATAATTTTGTAGAATATTACTTTATTTAATTTGCATACAATAACCAGGATATAAAAAGCAAAATATTTCAAAACATGCAGAAAACAATACAATTTTTACCTCTAGAATAAGTTGTGTCCAAACATGGACTGTTATAACAAGGCTGCATAGTACTAGTTGTAGATGGAGGAATAGGCTGCATAACACCTGATTGGGAAAACAAAGCATTCAGAGAAGAATTTAAATCTGCCAGTTGATCTTGAGACAAAAGGGACACAGCAGGATCCTTTGCTTTGATGCTATCCATCATGGCTAAATTTAATTATAACCATTGAAAAAGTGAAAAAAAATTACAAATGTAAATGTTATTTTCATTAAAACATATACAATTCATATGCTGATTTTGCATTTTGAAATAGTCCATGCATCATGCAAGAAAACATTCATTAAAAATTTTATCATTTTTAATGCATGTCTATCAGGGTTCATACACATTTCTAAACATGGAAATTAAGTACTTTTAAGGACTTTTAAAGACCATTAATGAAAAAAAATTAAGGACTTATGAGCAAATAGCATATTAATAAATTCAATTAAAAATATTGCCTATGAGTGAACTTCACTTTTGTAATACCATCCAAAAAATAAAATAGATCCATAAGTAGAATGCATTATTATTAAACATAATTTAATTAACATAATTATTAATAAGTTTGATAATGAAATATACTTTATGAAATTTATCAAATAGCATTAAATATTTTACACTTATAATAGTTCAGCATATTTCAAAGAAGATAAGTGACATTTTATTTATGTTTCACTAATAGTTAGCTTCATGTTGATTTTTTTGTCTCATTTTGTCACATGCTTGCTCAATTTAGAGGTTTAGTAAATAGCAGGAAGATTTTATGTCAAGCAGCATAAGTTAAAATGAGAAGTAAAATTATATAATCAGAATGATTTATAACAAAAGACTGGCTGTGGTCACTGCTGCTCCTTGCCTAGAGAGAGACCTGCTGACCAGAACAAAACTGAAAGTCCTTATGTGGGCAAGGTTGGCAAGTTTTGAAAGTTAGTTGGGCTCTGTCTGATGAAGTTAGTGTTGTAGGTTCGTGTAGACTCAACAGAGCTGATAATAAGTTGCTTTGTATTGCAGGTACATTAGGTAATTTTTTGAAAGCAGAAGAGATGAAAAATTAGCAATGCCTTCGCTGGGAATCGAACCACAGACCTCTGGAACACCGGCCCAGCGTGCAGAACCACTACACCATAAAGGCACACTAGGAAAGCGGGAGAAATACCTTATATACTCCCTCTTTTAAAGGGCGATTGGGGTTCTTACGGGAACCAACCGCCAAATCCTGGGTGTGGGGAATCCTCATCCAACACCCTTTTTTAGTTTGGGCGCCAGTGTAGAGACATTAGGTATTTTTTGGAAGCAGAAGAGATGAAAAATTAGCAACGCCTTCGCTGGGAATCGAACCACAGACCTCTGGAATACCGGCCCAGCATGCAGAACCACTACACCACGAACGCGCGCTAGAAAGGCGAGAGAAATGCCTTATAGTATTTAACAACAAGGTCTACAAAGAATAAATTTTATATAAATTTTTTACATTGTGTTTTATCTTGTACCACGGTAAGGATTAATGAAGGAAATAATTCGCTTTTTTACACAGAGATAATTTTTAAGGGTGCAGTTAGTTATAAATAATTAAATTAGGTAGTTAGATAACCTTAGTTAATATGGATTTACATGACCACTATTAAATTTTACTTATTTTTTAAGAATATTTGTTAAAAAGCCCAATTAAAATCACAATCTAATAAAATTTCACAGTTTAAAATACAAGCAATTTATGTCATTGATTCTTAAACGATATTAGGATAAATATATGTTTTGTAACAACAACACTCAACAAAATATTTATGTGTCTTTTTAATTTGAAGCCTCCCCAGACATTTTGGCTAATTTATATCGATTTCCTTCTCTTTAACCTTCCAAAACCTGGCCGAAATTCTTATAATATAGCCCTCAGACTGGCGCAATCCAAAACACTTCTGCCCCCTCTTTGACATTTTCGTAATGAGAAAAGTCGTTAGTCCCCTCCATGGATACAGTAAAATTTACATGTTTGTCGGACGCTGTTCCATAGTAGATGGGTTGCTAGATTTGCGATTTTTTTAATGATTATTTTGCTTTCATTTAACTGAAGTTCTGAATAAATAGTGCACTGGAAATGTAACCAGTGCACTATTTATTTAGAACAAAATATATGCAATGTTTATATTTCATTTACTATTTATGATCAATCTCGGCAATAATTTGTGAATTTTATAACTTTGTTTTCCCACTTCATTTACATTCACATATTTTCATATTAGAAATTAGAAAACGAGAATAAAATTTAACAAAATATAATAAATACGAACTAGCTTTGTAAACCTGCAAGTTGGAATGCGATTTTTAATAACATAGTTTCATTAACAAAATAATGGTAATGACTAATTTAATCTTTCACATTTTCAAAAAAATAAGGGTATACTGGATGTTGACACTTACAATGTAGTAAATATGTTTTTGATATTTCTTCCAGTAATGAAAAGCGATTACCGTGGAATATTTTTAAAGCAAAATTAAGAAAACTGTTTATGCCAAATTTTGCATAAATTATCCTCTCGTGTATTTTTTATTTAAAGTGTGAAATTTTCTCTTTGAAAAAATAAAAAATCATGAACGAAGCAAAATTAATTCATGAAAAATAACTTTGAAATGCAATAATTCCATCGTAGTATGAAATAGTGGAGAAAAGTGCAATACAGTTTATTTATTCACAAATAATCCCCTCATATGCCTAATTTATGTACTGTCGATTGAGAAATATAGGTTAGTAAATTAAACCAGTTATTTCAATACTTTTTCTTCATCAATTTCTTTATGAGTCCTTTAGTAGAGCAGTAAAGGTGGCTGAACACTTGTAGCTCATTTGAGTTTGAATCCCAGCTAAAGGGTGGAATTCATGGTTTTTGTGTAACATAAATACAAACCAGCTTCCCTTAGAAATTCCTTCACGAAGGCATCCTTCCTCTCATACAGGTAATTGTTGTGTGCTTTGATGTAATTCAGTAAGCGAACAAAATTAATCCAATCAAACTCAGAGAACGGGTTTATTACATGTTAAGTTTTCCATAAGGAACGTAAATGCGAGCAATTTTTTCTTAAAAAGGTTTACATGAAGGCATCCATCCACTTAAGCAGATAGCGTTCGTGTGCTTTTCCGTAATCCAATCCTAATTCTCATACATTTAATAGTAAGTTGACATACACCTTATTACAGACAAAATAACATTCCTTTTTTAAGATAAATTTTTTATTAACTCGTCTGAATTCCCTTTATCTCTTGAGGAGTATAAGAGTTTCAGCAGATAAAACCAGCCGAAATTTTATGCAAAGTAACTGATGTTTTCATTCAATTTTGAAGTTACGTGAGCTTTAATGATATTTAAATACTTTTTGGCAGATGTCATCCTAAAAGAGGGTCTAAAGATAAATTGATTTTATTCAATTTACAATGAATGAAAATCATTGAACGAATGAAAATTTAAAAAACTATTATGCATGCAATTGTCTCTTATTTATCTCCTGATAAATCACACAAAATTGCCTACATAATAGAAGCACTTTGAAAGAGTTAACAGTTCTTAAGGGTTTTAATGCATTCCAAAAAAGGGTTAAAATAACATATTATTATTCATAAGTATAAAAAGGAACTAAATGATAAAAGCGGTTTTACCTATTTTCTAGAAGGGCATTAAATCTAAAATATTAATCTAACCTCATTTGCTATGATTAAAAAGCATTAACTCTGGTAAGCTTAAACAGCGTGCAAAATTGCTCACATTTTAATCATAGCAAAAGTTAGTACTAAAAAAGTTAGCTTTAAAATTATGAGACAGTGCTCTAACATTTAAGAAAGAGATGGCTTCTATTTGATTTTCAAGTATATTGGCGTGAGACAGACCTGCGGTTTTTGCCAAAAAGGAGCCAAACTGATAAAAAGAGAAAAACAATGCATAGCCAGTGGCTATTCTGAGCAGTGACAATGGACCACCCAGAGATCGACAAATAAGCGATTCTCTAAAATAGGGAGGGGATGGCTGGTACGACAGTTGTACCACAGCCGGCGTTAAAGAAGGTCATTTTCCTGGTACAACTGCTGTACCGCCAGCTTTAGAAGGTTAAGCCCGTTTTCTAAGAATTAGAAGTTTTTTTCAATATGTAAACTAATGTTCTCACTAGTTTGTGTGTGCTTTATCTCCTAACTTGTTAACCTCTCCACATTGTACCTACAAGGGTTTACTTGAACACCCCTCCCCCCCCCCTCCGGACAGACGTGATGCAAATTATCTCTATGTCTGAAACTAGAGTCAGACAAAGGTTTAAATATTTAAATGTTAAAGGTTTAATAAATAATTAATTAAAGCCTCATATTTAAAAAGAACTTGAAGGCATGTTCTAATGCTAACCAAATTAATTGCAGCTTGTGGTGATGTAATTAAACAAAAACAGTCAAATTCAAACAAAAAATGTGGACTATTGGTCAAAAAAAATGTGGACTATTGGTCAAATGCTATACAATTTAATTTTAATTTAGGCTGGCTCAGGAACTCTATCATCATAACAAATTCAAATGCCGGCAGCGATAATTCAGACAAAAAATTACAAATTATCAGAGCTGGCAAGAACTAATGCAGTGAGCAAACGGTGATTAAAAACACATTCTGTCTTACACACCAAAAACCTCAGTTTAAGTCTAAGTGATTTGCATTCTGGGGTGGAAATAGAAACAGGAAATTATAGTAAAGGCTGAAATTATAAACAAATGGATAATTTACATAATAATAACTGTATATAAATTTGAAGAATAATTTTCTTTTTATGTATGTATTCGGTTTCTTTCTTCAATATGCTTCCCTTCTATTTTAGAATTTTTGGATTTAATTAAAGATTTCTATTATTCTAAAAAAAACTAAATGCATTTTAGAATGTATAGAAAAAGCTGCTAACTTTATTTCTTTAGTATTACGAATATTCAGTAGAAATATGAAATATATATGGTAAGGGCTGGTTAGAGAGCTGGTATGGCAGAATTTTTAGAATTTAGTGACACACCTAGCAACAAAATCTAGAAATGGCAAAACTTTTAGAATTTAGAACAGGCACTGGAAGCAGAATTTAGAAATGCAGCACTAGTCAGTAAAATTCAGTATCTACAGAGAAAAGTTTAATATTCCAAGTGATTGCACCAGGTGGGGAAAATGCCTGTTTATGATGCATTAAGACATATTAGATGAATCTTTTAAATTGCCAGTTTCTAATTTCTTTATTAATCAAAAAATTCCTTTCTATAATGCCTGTCCATGTGATAAGATTAGAAGAATTTTTAATATTTTCTATGCTTGTGTCTCGTGAAAGTTAGAGAAAATAAAGGGAAGATAAACATGTTAAGAAAAAGATTGTAGCATCAGAAGTAAAACATTCAAATATTATGTTTTCACTGTTCTATCAGATATTCTCCAAAAAGTAAGAAATTCATTGCAAACTTTCTGTAAAATACATCCATTAGGTGTTAATACTATAGAGACATTTTTCATTTTGTCACATTTTTCTAGAATCTTCTAGAATCGTGGGTCTATAAATCATGCCTTCAAATCCTTCTAAACTTTCCAAGTTACATCCTTCTTCAATTCTTCAAGTTGTAATGTCTAATGTCCCGAAGAAAAATTACCCCTACCAATTTTGTAACAGCCAACAGTCAGAAAGATTTTGGAAAAAAAAAATCACAGGGAAAAAGTGTAAAATTAATTTTATAGAGAAAACTGATGCACATCCTGAGAATTCTGAATATTCAGAGACGATTACATGAGAAAACTCTTATCATGAAAAAATTAAAAAGAAGATATTTTTTGCTTGCTTAAGTTCTTAGCAATAAGAACTGTTTTGTAAATTGTGCTTTGTAGCATTATACCTTGTTTATTTTTCAGATTCAAAATAATTGTATAATAAGTAGCCAAAATAGAACTTTATAATATGACAGCAAAAAATAAAAACATTACATTTTAATGTTACTTTTTAAATATAATTTCAATATGTTACCATTATTTTAATGAAATTTATCAATGTTGCAATGTTTCAAAAAAATTGTTGAAAAATTCTCAGATCTTGGAATTAAAAATTTACTATAGAAACTGATCTTAAAAATTGCCAAAATGTTGATAAGTTGCCAAATTTAGAGCCGTTCAATAAAAGTATTCACATCCCCAAAAGTGAAAATTTGTTTAAGATCTCTTCATTAGAAAAAGTGAAATATTTTCGAAATGCTTTTGTTTCACTTCTTGTTCAGAAACTCGAGTATCCCACCATTTACATTAGAAATAGGAACAAACTATAATCCATTCAAAAGATAACCATATTTATCATTGAATCACCAAAATATAACTTCAAATGCTAATTCACACTCAAATTGGCAGTCGTAAAAACAGACAGAAATTTCACGATTAAAGTTAAGGACCTTGTGCCGATTTTGGCCGAAATTAAAGACTTTTAAGGATCAAAAATCGATTTAAAAAAACTTAAGGACTCTTGACCATATGAACTCTGGTCTATGGAACCAGTGCTTGATATCATAAGGGAAGAAGAATGGAATGGATAAAAGACAAACAGTGAAAGGAATAAATAGGTCTTTTTAAATTATTTGAAGAGCTTAAGGTTTAATGCAAATAAAAAGAGGGAGGACATGAAAGAATCACAGAAGAAACACAAGAATGATTAACACAACCATATACAGCACAAAAATAGAAAGATGAAGAGAATATTACTGTTTCTGATATGGTTAGAAAACTTGACTATACTGCAGTCTTAAAATTATTTTTGATTCCATGACCATCAATCTGATTTTGATATTACTAAACGGAAAGTTTTTTTGGGGGCAGAATACATATCAATTGGTAGAAAATTTTCTTAAAGTCTTGCAAAGAATACATTCTGCAAGATTTAAAATTTATTTTATGCTTTATTTATTTATTTAAGAAAACATGAAATTCATTCATAAAATCCTGCAGTGGAAAAAAAATTACCCTGCTGCATTCCTGTCTATGTCATGGAACTGGGATTTAAATATCAGTAGTCTCACCTTGAAATTGCGACATATCTATGTCCTGCAGGCAGCCATTGCTCGACATCTTTGCACTTTCTCTTAACCAATCCAAGCTCTGCATAAAATCTACAGCTGATATTTTCTCATTTGCTGTGAAAAATAAATAAATAAAATAAAAATTTTAAAAAATCTGAAAGTTTTCAGATTTTATATTATGCCCAAAGGTGCTATTTTTAACGTTTTTTGTGTTACCTTTATTTATTAAATATCATGTCTTTGCACTTAAACCATAAAATTCAATTCAACATCAATATTGCAAAATAATTAAAAAAGAGTATACTTTTAGAATTTCCAATACAAAGTCTCCCATGCCAGGGATAAGCGCCCCCAGAACCCTGTACAGTGTTGCATAGCTCACTTTGAAATTGGTGAGTTTCTTAATCAAAAACTCATAAATGCTTTACAAAATATGAAATAAATAATAAAACAAAGTCAAAATTTGGGCTTCCAGATGCCCATATTTGGCTGGAGACATACGTTACTCAAAATTTGATGGCTCTAGGTACTGTTGTTTTGGCACAGTGCAAAAAACATACCTACATTTATGCAAGATTCTTCATTATTTAATTTCTTTAAATATTATACAGGGCGATAATATTTGGTGCCAACAATTTCAAAGTGATTCAGACTTTTAACGCAAAGTTAAAACTTTACTCAGTTTTCAACGCAAAATGCCAAAACGAAATTAACAGCCCTTCTGAGCTAACGTGCTTTGGGCTACAAACAAAAATAAATAAAATAAAAATACTAGATTGCACACTATTTATAAATAATCACATTATATAAATGTTTAATAACAATTTAAAAGTTTCGGTAAATAATTCAATTAACGAAAATTTTTACAAATTTTAAAACCTACCACTTCAAACAAAGGTAAATACTTTATTTGCAGTAGAAGTGTTAAACAAACCATTATAAATATAAAATTATTTGGAAAATATTATCTCAAACAAATATTCCAAGTTACTTTTTCAAAAAATATACTCGGAAATTCTACTAAGTTAGTTTAAGTGACTAAAGAAATATAATTTTATATAAAATACCAATTATATATGACTACATATAATTTTCACATATCTGAATATACAATACCATGATATTGTGGCAAATCATTGCTTGGCAAGCTGCCATTTCCTGCCATTTTTGCATTTTCTCGCAGCCAGTCCAAACTTTGCACAAAATCTGCTGTTGATAATCTGTCAGCAACTAAAAACAGTAAAATAAAGGATGTTGTAATAAAAAACAAGCATTCTTAAAAGAACAGAAACATAATATAGCTTATGATTCCCAAACCTTTCCACCGAAACTGAATTTATCTTCACACTCCTTAGGAAATATTTGATTACTGTTTAATACCATTTCCTATGATTGCAAATATGGAAATGGTGGGATAACGACTTATTGATTTGAAACTTTACAACAGTCTTAATAGCATCCCCTTAATGCTTCAAGGGTTTTGTTTTGAAATCCAAAAGTTCTCTAAAATGCCACGCGTAAATAGCATTTCTTTGATTTTAATTCCGAAATGACCCTTTCAATTTGTGCCCTCATCATTTTCTTCCAATATATATTCTACCAGAATTATCAGGCTGTATTTGAAGATGCATGACTATGCACTTACAAGTAACATGAAAAATATTTCTGAACGTATATATATACGGCTTGGCTGCTTGAAGAGTTAAATTCTGTCTCACATACCTTTGGGATGAAACACTCCAACAATTTTTTGCAGCGAGTTTTTCTTTTTTTATTAAATGAAAAGGGAAAAGATTAATTAGGGAAAATTTTACTGTTCTAGAAAAGATTCTCCATTCTTTAAATCTAATGAACTGCAATGAGTGAGAATACTGATTTATTTGATACACAACATCAAAATTTCATTCAGTGGTTTCTTGGCATTCCAACAACTTGATTGGAAATTTTCATTTTCAAGAAAAATTCAGATAATTTTGCAACAGAAAAAGCAGATGACAGCATTTGCAGATAGGCTAGGTAGTCACTTTTTTGGAAAGGGGGAGGGAAAGAGTATTTTCTTGTATATACTGTGAAATATAAACAAATAAAATTATAAGTATTAACTTTTTTAACAGCAGTTTATGAATGAAATTTTAAAATATAAATTTAAAGTTTAAAATATCAATTCATTTCGCATGACTAACATTCTTTTTTTTTTTTTTTTTTTTTTTCTGTAGGGTTGAAAATGGATTTACACATAAATGTACTAATATTCTAAACTTGTTTCTACAAAGACCAATTTCACTTGACTTGGCCAGACTTTTTCTTAAGGAGTTGTTTTAACCACTTGCACTACGATTTAGCTTCATGTTTGCGGTGCCATGCGCTACAATATAACAAGCGGTAAAGTGTCTCATTTATGCTGCTCTGCGTCTGCGAGTCCAATCCAGAGCTGTAACTCGAGAAATAAACAATTTCATTGTTAGGCGACGTGTGCACCACATTGTTTTCATTTTTGAGATAAATGCCTATCGACGTGGTGTTCACATCACTCGCGGTTTGAGACAAAAACATCTCAACATGCGTGGCACGTCTTTTTAGCGCAAGTGGTTAAAGAAACTTTTCATGGCCACAAATCCAAAATTCAAAGATAGACCATGAAATATAAAAGATAACCATCAAAGATAACTAAGAACATTATTTTTTAAAGCATGAAACAATGCAAGGTACAATCTTATGTCACAGATGATAGAGGCCACTTTCAACGATTATTTAGCTTATGTATTCATAAAGTATGTTTCCCATGTTTTCAGTTTAAATATCTGTAACTTCAAAAGATTAAATATTAGAGACATTCTGCATTTAAAATCACATTTTCCTCTCTACCTACTGTAGTCAAATTCCAGTTACATAGATTATTTTCAGGCATATCAACCAGCTTTATATTTCCTCTCCAGCTTTGGTACTTGCATGTTTTAGCAGATATCGTGAAATGATTGACCACTAATCTTGACATAAAAAATTCCTTTACGTCATTTCTAGTTTACCTACTGGTCTCTTTACATTGCAGACTTAGGTTATATGGTATTTTCTCCTTCCATCCAACATGCCTTCGTAGTGTAATGGTCAGCACACTTGGCATGTATTCGAGAGGTCCAGGATACATATTCTACGATCACTGGCTCCGTCTACTACTTAAGCGAACAATACTGACTCAAAAAAAAAAAAAAAAAAAAAAAAAAAAAAAAAAAACGATATGGACAGTGTTTCCAACTTATCAGGAGAAAGCCATTCTCTACTCCTCAGTTGGTAGGTGGGTGGGTCCATTTGTCTTTATTGAAAGGGGGCAAGGCTTCAAGGTGCTTTAGACCAATCACAGTACAGATGAGTGATGAAATTTATAGCGCGCGCTGGCTGAGGTTCTAGGAATATTCAACATTATTTCACTAACTCACACGCTGTATTTGTAGCTCAAAAAAATGACACAAAACAGTATTGTGACCAAAATGCAGCAGAATGTGCTGCTGTGGTATGTGAAGGAAAATTTCATTTTTTAAGGAGAAAGTTAATGCAGGAATTTAGAGCTAAGAAATAAAGAGATATGTGGGATACCATGAAAGCAATGGTAAATAGATAAGAGTAAATGAATTAAGCTTACTTAAAATCTTTTTAGAAATAAACAATTTTAATCATTTAAATTTATAATATGATTAATTTACATTGCAATCTAATAGCAAACTAAGTTTTTTATATTTTTCCTTCCCTGCTTACATTAAAACTGTGTTTTCACACAATTTATTTTATAATTAATATTAGAAAAAAATTTCTTTACGTAAGAAATTAGACAAAAAATATTTCTTTCTTAATGTTTCTTCCTTTCTTTTATTTTCTGTTTCTATGAAAATTATTTCTTTCAGAAAAAGAAATAAAAATCATTTGTTATTACAGTGTGGTTGATTGCTGCTGCATTCAGCTATCACACATGCATCAAAATATTTTATTTTAAATAATTTATTCTATAATTAACATGAAAGAAAATAATTTTTCCATATAAAATAAATAACCAAAATTATAATAATGTATTCTGCATGTGTGATTAATTTGTATTGCAATATCTGTCTGTATGTGTCATATATTAAATAGAAAACTGTAATAATAATATGTCTTTTACAATATAAAAATGAGAACTCTGCTATGAATAATTAATTTTTAGGGTTTTTCCCCCCCCCTTTAACTTTGCAAACAATGATTTTTTGATACTAATAGATTACAAAAGTACTATTTCATGATCAAAACCTCAGTCTTACAGCATTGTTACTTTATAGCATAATACAATAATAATGCAGTATAATTCTGATAATACACACACCAGCGGGCGAGCGGTAGAGTCTCTGAATGCAGGTAGTTAGATCCGAGGTTTGAATCCCGTGAACGGGCTGACCGGACTGGCGTTTTCATGGCTTTCCCATGTGTGACGTGCATACGAGCCAGTTTCCCTCAGAAAGCTCTCCCTTAGAAACCAGTTTTAAATCATAATAAAATTACACACATACAGAAAAAAAAAATCTGAAGTCCTTCATATTTTATATTACAAAGGGACTTTTTTTTAATGTTTCGTGTGTTACCTTCATTTATTAAATATCATGTTCTTCGCACTTAAACCATAAAATTCAATTCAACAGCAATATTATATAATTTAAAAAGAGCATATCTTTAGGATTTCTGATACACAGTCTCGCGCGCTGGAGATAAAATTTTTTTTTTTTCCCCTATACAGTGCTGCCATTACTCGCTTTGAGTTACCGTTGTTTTATCACAGTACGAGAAACATTCATACATTTATGCAGATTCTTCATTATTTAATTTCTTTAAATATAATATAGTGCGATAATATTTAGAGGCAACAATTTGAAAAGTGAAATGCCACAAAATGGAAAAATGAAATTAATAGCCCTTCTGAGCTAAAAATTATTTTTAAAAATATTACGCTAGTAGAAGTACTACTACTGAAAATATCTTATAAAACTATAATATTTTTATCTTACAGTACTGTTAATTTCACGTAATAATGAACACCAGTCCTTATTGTGTTCACAATATTGTTCGTAAGATATCCCACTGTTATATTTTAAAATAAACTTAATTCTTGCTGTACATAACTCGAGCAGATGCTTCTCGGATATCTCTATTTTTATTAACTGAAGAAGGATTATGTTCTGAATAAACACTTATTATCTTCTACATTTTTAAACTACATAATTACAATACATATCTATAATTTCAGGAAAAGTATAAATAACCTTTATTTCAGTAGAAATTGGGTTCTTGTTTTCGGAACGCGGATCCAAATATTCTCTTAGTTCAACGCAAATTAAAATAACTATAAATTTTAGCAATCTGAAAAATACAATGAAAACATCTTCTGGCAGAGCAAAGGCATCAACATATTTTCTATAAATTCATCGCCGATTCAGAGATCTACGACCGTATTCTTTGTTTAAATATGAAAAAACTAGCGGCGAAAACACATACAAAGCCATTGTCTACTTAGAACATTAACTGGACAAGCCTGACTGACGATGGGCCAACACTTTTCGCCATGCTTCCGACGACTTCTGCACTCAGTATAGTATGTCGGGCAGACCTGTTTTTCACTAGAAGCTACGTCTGGCAGCCCACAAACTGATGCCAACTCTCAGAGCGTAGAACAGGCGTCCAGGTTCAAGTCCTGGCGAGGGCATTGCTAATTTAAAAAAAAAAAAAAAAACTAATGTCTCTACAGCGGCACCCAATTTAGTGATGGGGGTCTCCTTATCTCCAGTTTACCTTTAAAAGGGGGGTATATAATATTGGGTTGAAAGCCTAGCCAGAACCAGACCACGGAGTATATATATAAGGTATTTTCTTCCTCCTTCCAGCATGCCTTCGTGGTGTAATGATTAGCACACTCGGGGCGTATTCGTGTGGTTCCTGTTAAAGTCTCAGTGAAGGCACTGCTCATTTTTCACATCTCCTGCTTTAAACAAAATAATAACCTAATGACTATACAAGGTCAGTGCTCTTTTGAATTTTAAATTGCTGAATTCTGAACATATGACATTTCGAAGTCCATCTTTCATGTATATTTAATTTAATTTCTTCTGTTATATGTTTTGTCTTTGTTTGTGCATATTATTTCAAAATGGTACAAGTATTTATTGTTAAAAATCTTCAGAATGTAATACTGACTTAAATTTAAATTTCTGATCTACTATATAAATTCCAGTGCTTCCAAACATATAAAAACATTTAATGCTATTACTGGACTGAATAATGAATAATTATTAGAGATCACTGTACTGTAAGTATTCTGTAAAATCTCACAAATAATATAGATGTGTTCTTTAAACAAAGCTTGTGAATTGAGATTTAAATTATGTCATATGCATATTAAAGATTTTCATACATTAAATTTCAATTTAATTTAAACTATGGTACCTGCTGTAACAAAGATTCAAATCTAAGCATAAATAAGGGCCAATAAGGCACAGAAAATGAATGATGAAGTATAAAATTAATTCAAACAAATTTAAAAAAGGCAGAGTATTTTTTAAACCAATTTCCTAGTTTCTTTTCTTTTTTTTTTTTTTTTTTAATATGTCTTAAGCAATATCATTGATGGTACTTCTAGAATATAATTATTGCATCAGTAAGATGTCAAATGCAATCTGAATGTATGAGGCAAACTTCAGAAATGTATGAAACTGTAAACTCCTGTAAACTGTAAACTTTATCACGTCACCTTCGAACAAAAAGTTACTTAAGGATATGATATGCCTTAACTTTAAAAACCATATTTTATAGTATGAAAAATACAGTAAGTAAACACATTCCAGATAGTATAACATTATTATAAGCTTATACTCAGAAATTTAAGATAGACGAGTCAAGCGAAGAGCTATTATAGCTATAAGCTTGTGGAAATAATGATACAAGATATATATGCTTCATTTGTAGAAATGTACAAGGGTGGCATTCTGGTATTAATCAAAATAATGCAGCAAAACTTTAACCATTATTTAATTAACACCATGCTCATTCGGATGAACAAATAATGCAAATTTTCCAGCTATGATCAAAAGTGTAATGTTTCACTTTTGATCATCATTTTGCATAACAAAATAAACACCAAAAAGCACAATGAATAATGAAAACATTACACAAAGATGTAAAATCTAACAAAATTACACTTAATTGATTTCTTGCATACATCTTTACACTTATATCCTGCAAAAGTTTTATGGTGGTTGTATTTCTACATGTGCTCTTCATAAGGCTTTGGAGAAGTTTTCCTTTTATATATATTAGCATCACATAAACTCTGCTCTGAATAACTCAGCAACGTCAAACTCTATATTATTGCTTTTTATACCCATCTTTTCAATAAGTAAAGTTCATGATTATTATTTTTATATATTTATTCTTCAGTAAAATGCCTTATTCTTGAAAGAATACTACTGCATTTTTTTTTTTTTTTACTTCCTGATAAATCAATACATAATATATCATGTATAATGTAACAATGTAATATATCATGTACCAATTATCAATATGGTTTCAATCCCTCTGCAGTACATTAGACCTATTTCTTGAAAGATCAGGTTATCTATGCAAAGTGTTAAGAGGATTAGTTTTCAGTCATCAATTAAAGGGAACATTTTTAGAAATTGTAATTTTCTTTCATGGTTTTCATAGAACATACATATGCCAAAGTTTCATTTCTTTTTATTATAACTACCATTTAACAATTTTTCATTACATTATATAAAAATTAATTTTTCTGAAATTTTTATTACACCACCCGGATAGTCATTTTTCATTTTATGCATAGGCAGCCAATTTACAAATGCTTGCCAATTTTAAACTATTTTGTCTTCTGACATCTTATTTAAAAACCCCTAACAAAGTCAAACAAGAATCATTTGTTTAACAAACATGCTCTAAGATCACATGCATATCTTAGTTTGCAAAAATAGAAACAAAACAAAAATATAAAATACAGTACAAAGTCCATAATCCAGATGTCCATTATTCGGAATGATCTTTAATCCGGACCTCAAAGCCACAAACTTTTGGGGGGGGCTATGCTTTACGCATGCACGTAGTGTGTTTACGCATGCACGCAGTGCGTTTACGCATGCGCATTTAATGTATAACGGACGGTATAAGCTAGGCTAAAATTATCTTTACTGAGTCTAAGGAATTTATTTCAGTTAATGTTGCAGATTGCGCTGTTCTTTAATCTTCTAATTGGATCCGGCTTAATTTTTGCAGACTGTTAGAACAATTTTATAAAAATTAAGCTTGAACTTTCGATTATGTCAAAAAGACTTTCCAATTCTGGAGCTGCCAAAGGATCTACAAAGTGAAACCATGTTTCGATGTCCATCAAACAAAAAGTGGAACTGCTGCAAAATATGGATAAAGGCATATCTGTCTCAAAATTATGCGAGAAGGAGTATGGCATTGGATGACACAAGAAAAAAGAAAAAGGATCTTTTTGAATTTTTTGTGGAAGCATCTTAAACAACTTACATTGAAAGAAATGTTTAATAAAGTAAACAAATAAATATTGTAACTTTTTTTTTTTGTAAATTTGGATACCCTTTAGATGATAATTGCTCTTTATTTCATAAATTGCAGGTTTCATATTTTTAATTGTATAATTTCTGCATGCCATCTAACCAGATTTAAATTTATGATCTATAATCCAGAAAAACACCTACTTCAGAATCGCTGAAGTCCTGATGAATCTGGATTATGGACTTTGTACTATATAACGATATAAAACTTTAACATGCATATATGAAACATGATATTAGCAAGTAGTATTTGCATGTTACATGCAGAAATCATTATATTATATAATAAAAATTAATATTTCAAACTAGTTTTCATACAAAAAAATTATATTTCAGATCACTTTTGAGAAACGAATAAAAGAATTAACAACAGCGCCTTATTAACAACTTATGTGCATAATCATATCTAACAGGTAAGAATAAAAAGAAACAAACCCTGTGAATGGGACGAATTTCCATTAAAATGCTGATTGTGATTTTGATTGCAACAACTGCTGACTGTTTCTGAAGGCAGCATATGAGCAGAGCAATGACCTAGTAATGAATTAATTGTATACATTACATTAAAGATCTTGAAAATTTTAAAAAGTTTGATTTGCATTTATACATCTATATTTCAGATGCAAAGAAATATACTTTTTACATTCTTAAATGAATTATATTAGGAATTAACCTAAGCTGTTCCAGCAATAAGAGTACAATTTTAATAAATGCTGTAATTATAAATAACATAAAAAAGCAATGCAACAAGAAAGAATTATCTGAATGGGATGATATTGCATATGCCCAAACCTTACAATAGAATATGTGCATGATTGACTTTTGATGGACAATAGCTGACAAGCCGGAGCTCCGATGCACTGCAATAGATCATCCAGGTAGCGTACAAAACAAAGGGCATTCCAATGATAAGGAATAACCTTCATGCGAATGAGATTCCATTGACCCATGTGGACTGTATCAATGCTTTGCAAACAGGAGCACAAAATGTATGAACAAATGTCACTATTTTAGAGTAGGCATGCAACTGGACTAAAGCAGGATTGTCAATTTGCAGGATTGGGATTAAATGCAGACATTTGGGTTGGAGTGATCCTACCATTCAAGTATGTTCATAGGAATGGATGAACCATGGCCGTACAGAGCATCAAAGAAGGAAGCAGTCAACCAAAAGTGACAACAGAATGCATGAATAAAGTAACTGTCTGATTAGTGCTTACAGCCCGATACACTCTTATCAACGATCTGATGTGTAACCAGGATGCCAGTGATTCATAAATAGATGACTTAGCGAATGGGGGTTGAGTTCACTGAGGCCATAAAGCACACTGCCCTTCACTACTGCATATTATCAGAGCCCTGATGATCAGCGTTTTTTAAATCTGGTTATTATTTAAATTATTTTTAGTGAAGAAATTTATTATGCATGAATTTCATATACATAATAAATATTTTATGATGGGGTTAAAAAAGCTATTCAATGTATTAAAAGTTATTAAAAATAATAAAAAGAAAAATTTGCAGTTATGTGCATTCCCAATTTACATGATGTAATAAAACATTCTTTAAATATAGAAGTTCATATATACTTTAAACTGTTGTTCAGTCTTCAAACTGTTAGCTGTCCCAAAACCTTTTATACAAATAAATTTATACCAAAATATCTAGACAAATTAATCAATTTAGAAAAATGTGGATTACTTTCAATAAATAAGTAAATGAATTTTTATTTCATTAGTATATTAAACATAAAATATGATAATCATACATGAAAATACATATCTCAATACGCAGAAAATGTTGCAAAAATAACATACCCATGTCATGGAATGCAGGATGAGAATTGGACACATTTGTTCTATCTGTATTTAAATGAACCTACAAGAAAAATTACTTTACTTTATACAAGATAATAAATCATGAAAACAAACTGGTATTTTATTAATCATAAAGATCTTTTATTAAGTTCAGTAATATAATATTGTAATCTACGGCAGGGATTCTCAACTGTGAGAGAATTTCTGATGGAAGAGGGGAATTTGATAGTTTCAAGGGAGAATGCGGTGAATTGTTTATTTAGCTGCTTAATTTATGGATATAAAAATAACTTTATAAAAAATTTTTGAATGTATGGAAATGTTCCATACTTTTTGTTGTCTTATTTATAATACACATTAATAATTAATCTAAATAAATGTATATACATTTTTTTGACTTTTGGAATGAAGGGAGGGGATGATTTAGCAATGGTGAAAGGGGTGCATGGGGCAAAACAGAATGAGAATCTTTGTTCTATAGCTTTTAAGTCAAATTCAGCAGGTTATTTCAATTGCTGGAGTTTTGCAAAGCCATTATGCAGAAGCATTTATTCAGAAATACAACAAAGTATACAGAAGACTGCAGTAAGGTCACAGATGAATAAGTACTCTAAAGGAGGACCATCATTTCCTCTAATAAATTTTCCATTCAAATCATGAAAAAGAAGCCAGAAAACTGCAGTAGGCATCTTTACTAGGGCAGAGGAATTTTCATCATCACCTTCTTGAAGTAGGACTCCATGCTCAAAGAGTGCGTAATCATTATAACCTAATAATGATTACGCACTGTAAAGAGACAATTAACAGTGATTAATTAATGTAATTGATGTAAAAATGGGCAACAGAACTTAGAATAAGGATTCTGAGAAATGAAGACATGTGAAGTTTACAGAAACTCAAAATTCAACATTCAGTCAAATAATTTGATGTTTTCCCATCTGGCATGGCAAAGAAAACCACAAACCCTTTTGCACTAGAACTGGTTCCACTTGATGAAGAATTTTCCCCAGAGGAGGCATAGTGGTGGTTTCACAAACCTTCAGATAGGAATGTTTCTCTGATGGTAATAAGTTATATGAAAAAATATCTCATGACACACACAAGTACTGCTAGAAGGCAAGCTAGAAGATCAGACAGTGAAATTCAAACTAGTCATTGCACTCATAAGTTTACATCTGACTAAATCAGCTTGGAACATAATGTAATTAAAATTTAGTACTCAAAGATACCCAGAACATTAATGAGTGTCTCTTCTAATAAGAGGAGCAAAAATACTTGATAATATTATTTCATCTATTTAAAACAGGGTTACAGATTAGCCCTGTTTTCAGCAATCACACTAAATATACAGATGTAATTATTCAAAATGGATAATAAAAGCAAAATTTAAAATTATATTCCTGATATTAAAGCTACCAAACAAAGAAACCATTACATTTAAATGAATTTTAAACATAATGGTTGCTTTAACCTCAGGAACATAACATGGACATATAAAGTTGATAACAGAACAAATTACTTAAGAAAAATTAATTAAGAAAAACTTAGTAAAACATTTTTTAATTTACTACTATCTTGAGGAAATTTTATGGTGTTCTTGATCAAAAATGGGATACAGCTAGGCAAAGTTTAACATTACAGATTGCTAAGCCTTAGCCAAAGGTTCTGAGATACGAGGTTACCAAACAAACAACACATTTCTTATGAAACCTTACCTAAAATGACATTACACAGAAATGACAAAACTTTTTATCAAAACATTTTAAATTGATCATGTGGTCATAAAAAGAAAGTACCTACTGTCATTTGATGACTAGGTTGAGAACATACAGGAGCCATTTGATGGCAATGAACAGGACTAGATAAGCTGTTACTTGAGCTGCTATCAGGACTGTAAGGAAAAATCTGCAAGGAGAAAAAAAGGGAAAAGAAACTTTGTGATAAAAATTCAAAAAATAAACAAACGTTTCTGTTGAAAAAATGGTAGCGGACCTTTCCCTTTAACTTTCCTAAAATTTTTATTTGTAAGTTACGTTTAAGAGCAAAATTTTTTTATACCATAGAAACTGCCTTTGCTTTATAAAACACATAATATTTTTTTTTTAATTATTCTTTCACCTATGCTATTCATATAGGTAAAAATGCTGTGTAAAACACTTTATACTTGAAAGGAATTTGAAATATAAAATTTCATTAATTATGTACACTTTCATTACACTTAAATGTCATTTGCAATGGATACTTGTCTATTAATTGGCAAACTTGACATTCAAAAGTCACAGCATAATACTGAAAAAATTCCAGATATGACATGTTTACATTATAATATATGACACATATATGGAATGTACATGGACTATCAGATAAAGTTAAGTTTAAAATGAAGTGTTACACAGGAAATTTAAAACAAAAGTTGGTTTTAAGCTTTATTTCTTTAAACTGATTTAGGCATTTATTTCCAACTGCAGTATAAAGTTTGAAATTTGGGACAGTCACGACTTCAATGATTCTGGATTTCAGATATTTCCAAAATTTAGATCATCAATTTAAATCTAAAAAGATGCCATGCAGACATGAGATCACTCATTGTTTAGATTAGATAGAAAAGTAATAACTCCCGCCAACCACTCAAGGGCCGAAAAATGTAATCCTCATCAACATCAGTATAACATCAATGGCCACTCTCATTAGCCACTGAGGCAAACTTTCTTTCTTTAGTTGAGTAATTATATTCTCTAATTTTAGACTAGTACAGGATGATTATTATTATTCTATTAACTGATTTATATTTTACTATTTTATTTATTTATTTATTTTGACTGGCGGTTCATATAATAAGATCATTCCAGATACTCGATGTCTGCATTCCAGATTTTGCAATGTCAAAAATTTCTCATAACAAAATACAAAATTTTAAGAAAATAGTGTCAGCACTAAGACTAGCATAGCTCTCCAAATCAAAAATATAACTTTTTATATGATTCCCACAACAAAGTTCAGGTAGGAAAATGTTCATTATAAAGTTAAATCTAAAAAGTTCCATCTATACATATAATAAAATGAAGAGTCTGTCTGTCTATGTGTCGTTCATGCTGCGTGGAAGCTAATAGACACAGGGCTACGAAATTTGGCACATAGGTGCAGCTAGACAACAGCCAGTGCACCTCGAAGCGATTTTTTTCAAAATTCGAATGAGTTTTTTTTTTTATTTTATTTTATTTATTATTATTATTTTATGTTTTTTTATGAAATCTCATCAAATCCATAATTCTCTCTCGGTAAAAGTATAGTTTAGGGTAACCCTTGGCGAAACTTGGCGATTTTTGGCGGTACATGGATACCGATTTTGTGCAATGCTTTGACTCGTTATTTTGGCTTGCGAAGCGGCGATTTTGCGCCAAAAATCACCGCTACACAAAGCCAAAATAACAAGACAAACAATTGCACAAACTCAGTATCAATGTACACATCGACTTATTTTCACTTAACCACAACCCCCGAATTGCACAAAAATGGCATTGCGCACTCCTTTGACTTTATCCATGTACACGTCGACCTATTTTCACTTAAAAAAAAATCTCCGAATTGCACAAAATTGGCATTGCACACTCTTTTAACTTTATCCATGTACACGTCAACCTATTTTTACTTAAAAAAAAAAAAAATCTCAGAATTGCACAAACTGGCATTGCGTACTCCCTTTACTCTGTCCATGTACACATCGATATATTTTCACTTAAAAACTCAAAGAAGCACCAAAGTCTACAGTATAGGCAAACAAAAAATACATAATCTCAACAAAATACATTTTAAACCAAACAATAAAATAACATAAAAAAGGAAAAACATGTTACACATTTAAGCACTACCAAAAGCAAATATTCACTTACCATGATTTTCAAATTCCCTTCGTCCCAGAGCCACGTAAAAATCAAAATATCGATCATACTCAAATGACTTTTTTCAAACCAAGTACTCTTTCTGATCGAACGCTTCACATAGTGACCATCTGAACCTTTCTTCCTACAAACCCATTCAAATCCATCTAAACAGTTTTAACACACACCACAAAAACGCTTACAAAACATCCCATGATTCAAAATTTCCCAGAATCATGCACCCAATTATATCACAATAGGGTATCCATAATATTCAACTACTCAGGCTACCATAAATGAAACAACAACTTGGCGATAAATCAAACAACAACTTCGCCATAATACAAGGGGTACCTTAAAGTCTACTCTACCCTTCTCTCTCATTATACTGGCAACAATGGCTTGTTGCTGATATCAGCACTGTTGCCACTCCAAAAAATGAGGGCAATAATTCTGTGCATTCTTGGATACTGTACGTTTGTCAAGAGAAGGCAATGGGAAGTTAGTTAATTTATTCATTAAGATAATTAATATTTGTATTAAGGGATATTGCTGATTTTATTGTAATTTTTTATATGTAATACACTTTTATTGAAAAATTTGGGGGATGGGGTTATAAAGTTGTTCTGCAGAGTAAATTTAATGTTTGGTGTTCCCTTTAGGCCTTTTTCTGGTACACTTAAAAGCCAGATCAAGACTGGACACATAGCGGCTATTAGAGTATAAAAAACAGACATAGGTACTTTAGAATAGAATTAAATGTGAAGATTTACATTATTTTTTTCTGCTTTCTACTGCTGATTCAAAATTTTCCAACCCAATTTAGCATGCAACTACAAAAAACATAAACTGCTCATTTTCTATTCAGTACTGAGCAAAAAACATTAATAACTTTAAAACTGTCCCCTTAAACTACTAATTACTGATATTTATTGCAGTTTGCACATAAAAGCATGAAATATTTTGAAAAAAAAAAAAAAAAACTTCTGTTCTTGTCTTCTACAGTGGTCTTGGGGACAGAAATCAGTGTTGCCATAATTCAGGCTTCAAAAAGTGTAATTTGTCACAAAATGTTACAAAATTTTCACAGAAATTAAATTAACTATGATAAACAATAACTTGGCAATTCATTTAATATCTACAAGTTATTTAATATAAACATACAGAAATAAATTAATATAAACTTATACAGCTTCATTACAGTTTTTTGAATAACCATAAAATTCAACAGATCTTATTTAATATACACGTTTATTATAGTTTTTTATACAAATATGAAAATAGTTCATATTAAATAAAAACATGTGTCTTAATTATGCATAAACATGCAAAAAATTTTATTTATTATTAAACATACTGGAAAATTCTACTTATTATTTTATTTAATACAATTATGATTGCAATTGATCTTTTAAAAACAACACATAAAAGCATACAGAAAATTAAACTTAATTCCTACAAACCCATTCAATCACTAAAAACATTATTAATATTATATATATATATATATTATATATATATATATATATATATATATACATATATATATGTAATGTTTTAATATATATTAACATTACACATATATATATATATATATATGTAATGTTTTCAGTTATTCCAACACATTGTGGATGAATGGTGAGGCTATTCCATTTCATGTTTTGGCAGATGGTTGACGAAGCTGGGATGATTGCACCACGGAGAAAAATGACGACTCAGGACTTTTCACTTTTAACAGCATATCTTTATTTTATTTTAGAGCAGATGATTTTTTCCAGATGAAGTTACTCAAATAACTTATTCAGTAATTGAATTATTAGATACGACTGACTTTAATACGTTATAACATTCTAACAAAGAAAGAGGAGCATAGCGGAGGCGTTAGCAGAACGAAGGCTAGAAGGCATCTGTGTAGGAGAACTTATGACACAGCATTTATATGAAAGGTTATGTAACAGAGTAGCTTCTAGAAAAATGTAGAAAAACTTATGACGCAGCATTTATATGAAGAGGTTATGTAATAGGCACGAATGTTCTAGAAGGTACTGGTCTAGGGAAAGATCCTGAATTGCAGAAAATTAATCAAAGGTTGCTGGTTCGCAAAGAGCAAAGCCATCGTATTTTTTTTTATATTTTACATCTCCCCCCCCCCCCCGTCAAAAGGAGAGGCCAGGGTGAGAAAAGCATTAGTACAGGAGTAAAGCAAAAGTATGAGAAAAGACATGAAAACATCCAGGACATAGCGTACAAGCTTTAACTATGGCCTATCATAGTTCATGACTTTCTCACATAAAATTTTGACTTTATAGCATATGAAATTTTGAACATTAAAACTATGAGTTATAAATAAATATACAATATATGATTAATTTTAAAACTATAACATAATAAATATGGAATATTGATAAATAAATAAGTTATAATTACAAAAGTCCTCAATTTTGTTAAAAATGTCCATTTTGTTTTTTAATCCTACCGGCTAATTAATAACTGTAATGTTTTCAGTTATTCCAACACATCGTGAATGAATGGTGAGGCTATTCCATTTCACATTTTGGCAGATGGTTGACGAAGCTGGGATGATTGCACCACGGAGAAAAATGACGACTCAGGACTTTTCACTTTTAACAGCATATCTTTATTTTATTTCAGAGCAGATGATTTTTTCCAGATGAAGTTACTCAAATAACTTATTGAGTAATTGAATTATTAGATACGACTGACTTTAATATGTTATAATGTTCTAACAAAGAAAGAGGAGCATAGCAGAATGAAGGCAAGAAGGCATCTGTGTAGAACTTATGACGCAGCATTTATATGAAAGGTTATGTAACAGAGTAGCTTCTAGAAAAATGTAGAAAAACTTATGACGCAGCATTTATATGAGGAGGTTATGTAATAGGCGCGAATGTTCTAGAAGGTACTGGTCTAGAGAAAGATCCTGAATTGCAGAAAATTAATTAAAGGTTGCTGGTTCGCAAAGAGCAAAGCCATGGCATTTTTTTTTATATTTTACACACACACACACATATATATATATATATAAACACATGGGAAAATTAACTTATCAAAGACCCTTTCTGGTGAACACAGATTAGCTATTGATTGATGTTAATAATGCTTCAAACATCAACTATAGCTTTTTCTATATTAAGCACAATGAGTATTCTGAGATAAAAAACCGTTATATTCATGGAATGCTATTTAAAATATCAGATTGTTAACTGTTCATTTCTTGCACATGCACATATCTGTAACTGTTTGTTTCTCACAATGCAGAAACTTTTTAAATGAACAGTCTTGCCATGTTTCTTACAGAAGACAATTACCAAAATTTGCATTTCCACTCAGTTAAACTTAATATCTACATACCTGGCACTTTTCTCATAAAATATCTTACCTTATTTAGAGAGAAAATTCATAATTTAAAATGCATGTCTAGGGCTAATATTTGAAGATATATAGTCATCTTTTTGAACTACCTATGTATAGTAAATAAAATTTCTTGTTCTTCAGTCACGTTTAATGGGCTGTCAATAAATATACATTTTAATGCATTGCCAGCATATACAATTGCAATTTAAAAATAAATACAATAAAAAGTACTATATCAAATATTTAATATTACGCTACAAGAGAAAATTAAAGGATAACCTCAAAAAAGTGAAAGTTCATGTTTTACTAGATGATTACATACAAGTACTTTTTTGATCATCCACACCTTCAACAAAAAGCTGTGAAAAAGTATTCATGAGACAAAGCAGTATGTTATCAAAATACTTAACTAACAACTCCCGATATTGGGCAAAATTGGCATCACCGGTATGCAGGCAGAACACCTCTTTTGGGGAAAGGCGGCAATGCCAAAAAGTAAGCTTGTTAAAATTTATGCAATTTGCCGATTTCTCTCTTTTTTAAGAAAAACGGATCACTGTGCACAATGATCCGTGAACAACAGACCACAAAAAGAAGGAATTTTTGAAAACGGTATTGATGTTTCTTGCTTCTTTGTTTCTGTTGACTGGCTGCTCTTACATAAAGCTCTATGTGAGACAATGTCATAATGGAAGACACCTTGAAGATTATTCAGTTCTGGGCACTTTGTTTCAACTTCTACTTTTAAAACTGCCATTTAGGAACAATATTTTTCTGAATTTATTGCCTGGACATGGTGGCAGCAATTGCAGCCCCTCTCAGTTTTACTAAAAGAGGTTCTTTTGGCTCACCCTATGATCTTTTTAAACATTATTATGTAATATCCACTTCTCCTCTCTTTTCAAACAAGGAGCTTCTTTATTTTTTTTTCAAAAAAGAATCACATGCCAAAACTTAGGAAAACATATTACTCTGTTAAACAATGAGGTACCCATACTCATAGCAGATTACACACCCAGTTTTCTTCAAATGAACATGTACTCTACATTTTAGAATAGATATTCGATTTGATAGTTCCTAGACTGTATACCTTGTATTTTCATCAATAGTTTTTTTTTTTTTTTTTTAATAGATCCTTGTTTACACAGGATGGTCATTCAGAGCAAGCATCATCTTTGAATTTTATACACTTAATCTTCTCAACCTACAAACCAAGCAAAAGACTATAATATGACAAAAATGAACTATTGCGTTCTCCATTCTTAGCACTGCACCAAAACAAAAATTATGCCACAACACATGACAGAATTTACACAACATGAGCAGAAAAGACCATATTTAAACCACTGTTCTTGTTCAATGTCACTGTGACCGCGGTAACAAAATAATTAGATGAAAATGCAAAAATGAAGACCTTTTAGAATGACCAAATAACATCATATTAATCAGCCAAGATTATAATATGATAATAAGATGTGCAGACGCAAGTTCAAAGAAAGTTCCTTTCACCAGGCGGTACAGATAACTACTTACAGTGCATGATGGATGATTATACCCCCCCCCAAAAAAAAAATTGCCAAGCCTATTGCAGTCACATCCAGAGTTTTAGCAACTCTCATAATAAGGTCAGAATCAGCTGCAAAAGAAGTCTTATAAACTAGGTTTTAGACACAACCCCACAAGGAGAAATCATATTAGCTGATCATGGTGATCAAGTGATGAGTCGTACCTCACCACTTTTTCATGCAGAAAAAATCCTTTTCTGATACTATTGTACATCAATACCTCAATGGCTCCGTACTGCTGAAACCACATATTTACCGAACAAGACAGGAATACTGCTTTACTAGAAACATCTTAAAAATCCATTTTTCAAGTCTTGATGGAAGAAGGTATGGTCCAATCAAATAATCTCAAACTATCTGTACCCAAACAATGATGATTAGAATGCTCTAGCAACTTGAAGATATAATGCTTATTGGCCCCGTTGCAACATGGCAATTTGTGCAATTCTCTGGTTTTTTCAAAGCAAAAAAATTGCTATGTACAATAAAAAAGAACAACTTGTGCAATGCCAAATTTATTATTATTATTATTATTATTATTATTATTATTGGTGAAAACAAATCACTGTGTAAATGAAAAGAATGATACAGTGCAGCATACCAAGTTGTGTGTAATGCCATGTTTCTGCACTTCACTGATGTTTATTGAAGCTAAAATAGATCATTATACACATGAGGAGAACAGTATACCAAAAAAGAAGTTTTTTTAGTGAAAGTTTCTTGCATTTTTAATGTTTTTGTTTAATGTCTATGTTAGAGAGAACGCCCAGTGCGTACAGTCATTTTTTAAAAATGGCTCTGTTTTCCCACTTTAACTTGGAGGAAAATTGGTCAGCAATGGCTAGGCGATTTTTCAGGAGATGGGTTGGATAATCAAAGAGTACCGATTGTTGTTTATCTGAATTTTTCTATTTAATTTATCAAAAATTACTGAAAAATTATACAAAACATTCAGAAACAATACCTTGTCCCTCTGCCTACACTTCCTTCGACGAGTGTCATCTGTATCGGATGGCGCATGATCAATCGCCCAATAAGAACCCTATAATAAATACAAACAGAAATAATTAAAACTTGAAGTCACATAAATTATATATGTAAAACTTTCAATCACAATAAACATTAAAATGCAGTAAACCAATAAGAATTCAATTAGTATTTAAAGTATATAGTTTATATTATGCTAATTCAAACTCAGCTATTTATAGGGAAAAATTGGACATAAAAACAAACTATTTTCTCTGAAAGTTTTATCAAGCATAAAAAAAGGTTAGCTTTTCTGTTCTTAGGTACATACTTCTAATTATGCTTCTTAAGATGCAGATTTTATAACAGAAAGCAAAAGCACGAGTTTCAAATTTTCACATGCAAAAAATTACAAACTTCAGAGCTTTCTAGGATATGCTTATAAATTTGCTCACTCTGATTATCTGCACTGCGATCAAAAAGCTATGAATTCAAATTAGAAGCTATGAATTAAGAAAGAAAGCTATGAATTAAAATTAGAAGGAAAATGAATCACATTACACTTTATGTATACAGAAAACTAATGCTGAACTAATATTTTGCCGAAGATTATAAAAACTGCATGCTTCATGATGATTCTGTCATGACTTTTCGATAAAAGCACACATAATCAGAAAAAAATCATAAATCACAATCGTAAAAAAAAAAAAATAATAATAACATAATTATTAGCCTAAAATAAATCATTCAAGAGATATTCAGTTAAATATTTTTAAACATTCTATGTAAATAAGTACAGTCAAAAGTCTTTAATCCGGAGCTCAAAGCTAGAATTTTTCTGCGCATGCGTTCACGCATGCGCAAAATCTTTACGTATGCGCATATGCATCTACGCATGCACATAATACGTTTACGTATGCACGTTTAATGTACAATGGACAGTATAAGCTAAGCTAAAATTATCTAATTATCTATTTCAGTTAATGTTGCAGATTGCGTTGTTCCTTAATCTTCTAATTGGATCCGGCTTATTATTTTTTGCAGACTGTTAGATAAATTTTATAAAAGTAAGCTTGAACTTTCGATTATGTCAAAAAGAATTTCCAATTCTGGAGCTACCAAAGGATCTACAAAGCGAAAGCATGTTCCAATATCCATCAAACAAAAAGTGGAATTGCTGCAAAAAATGGATAAAGACATATCCTTTGATTCTCTAATCATTTCAAAATATGTTCATCAATTTCACGCTGGGGGGGGGGCGATGCGACGAGCAATTATCTAGAAGTTGATCTGTCAGCACTATCCTTATTTTCAAGGCAGATGTTTTTATTTTATTGGCTTATAATTTCTTACTAAATGTAGTATTTCATCTCGATGTACTCTGTCTTTGATATGATTTAAGTCAAATTCCTCGTCATTATAAATATCACGTATACACATCAGATAGTTTTCTGGTTGCAATTTTCTAATTTTGACTATGTGTAATGTATGCTTTATGCATGCGCACGTTGAAAGAAATGTTTAATAAAGTAAACAAATAAATATAAAGCTTTTTTTTTTTTTTTTTTGTAAATTTTGATTATCATAATTGCTTTTTATTGATGCTAAAGCAAAGTTTAAAGTTTATAAAATTAGCATTAAAGTTTAGTAAAGTTAGTTTATAAAACATTTAGCAATAGTAGCAATAAAAGCTCCCTGAGATAGTATGTTGTGCAGACATTGAATACAATAAAGAAGTTTCAAACTTAACCAATTTATTAACAATATAAAAAAGAATAAAAACACTGAAAATAAAACACAGAAAATTTAAACAATATCAGAGTCTTAGGAAAAATATAATATAACATTAATTCATCAAATAATATTTTTACTTGGGCTCCAAAAACACTGGCATTCGATACAAACAAAAATGTCCTAAACAGCAATTATGCGGCCTCAAAATGAAATTGGCTACACATTCAAAAAGTCCATGATCAATGGTCAAGAAAACAGCTGAAATTTAAATCAAGTTCTTGAAAGCACTTAAAACCGGCCTAACTCCATTTGCATTAGTTGAACACGAGGAATCGCCACTAACGTATTTAAATGCACTTATAAAAGAAGGATGCCACCCACAGCAGTCACTCACATGGTAGCCGCTGGAACCAAGGATCTTATTCTGGATATCCATGGAACAATCTTTGTATACAGGAACCAAGGAACTTATTCTGAAACAATCATCTTGTATACAGGAACCAGGAACTATTCTGAAACAATCATCTTGTCTACAGGAACCAAGGAACTTATTCACCGGCCTGCACGCATCCTTCTGAAAGGGCTGGAAACCACACACCCAAGTGCCGGGAAAGCAGAAACTAGAAGGGCTGAGCCATCCATCCATCCATGTTGATATTGCCGGTGTGCAGCGAGCCGCTAACCGCTCCTAAAGTGATGGTACCTGGAAGTTGTCGGTCCTGAAGGGTGGCGGTGGAACTGAAGGGGCTGAGCCAGAGCGACGCGAGATACTTATAGCAGAAATAGGCATGACGTTATCTCGTGGCAACCAATTAGCTATCGGCACGAATCGGCTCCAGGGACATAAACATCATTTCGTTTCTGCACTATTAGGCTAAACAGTACGTTCTCAACGCAAACAGTGGCAAGTAGAAAAAGAAGTAGAAGTACTACTATATTACATTAAAATAAGAACTAAACTAAATTAACATTTCAAGGAGGAGAGATGATGCAGTAAAAGGTTTACAATAAGTTATATTTTCCAACATTTATTTCATAAATTACAGTTTCATATTTTTAATTTTATAATTTCTGCATGCCATCTTACCAGATTTAAACTGATTATCTATAACCCAGAAAAACCAATAATCTGGAATCACTAAAGTCCCGACGAGTCCGGATTAAAGACTTTTGACTGTATATACATATCCCTGTATCATATTATGAAATTGAAATGATACAATCTACAATAACATTTTAAAAGAAATCCAAGTACATATACAATTTTATTGAGTTCTGTAAGTGGAAAAACAATCTTCTAATACAAAAATTTTAGAGTACAGATTAAAGAAATTAAAATGCACAGTTTATAAACTTTTCATTAAACACTTTGTAATTTTTGTCTAACTAAAAGAAAATATATGAAATCATATCTTAAAATAAAGTTACCTTTCCAGGATCATCTTTTGGACGAGGAACTTTCCGGAAGTACTTATTCAGAGATAAGTTATGCCGTATGGAGTTCTAAAAATATAAGTACATTTAGAAGATATAAATTTTTAGTTTAAATCATTATAAAGTTTACTTTGAAACAAAGCATTTAAAAAGCCAATAGAACTCTTCCAATATTCATTAATACATAATTGAGCTAATTCATGTTCTAATATAAAAATGCAGCTAAAGTTTTGAATCACTCATTTTCTTTGTTATACAGTGGATCCCAAAATTGTTCATACACTTATAAGTTTCAGTGGAATACTGCTTTATTCATTAATAAAAATCAATATCCGAGAATGAGAATTTTTCATTTCTCTTAGCAAATGCATACTAACTGCATAGAATGCATAGAATGTAAAATGCATACTAACTTAAGATAGCTAACTACTGGCTTTTAGGTTAACTAATGCTAAATTGGCAGCAAGCAGCAAAACCGAGCCAAGAAATATCAGTATAAACTGAAAGGCATCAAACACTGACTAGGGAGCTAGTTTCAAACTTGCAGCATAAACATCGGAACTAAGTTCGCTACTACTCTTTTTGAACACACACAGCTTAAATAGTACTGCTTTTGAAAAATGTTTAAATTTACATACTATGTCATTACAAAATTTACATTCCGGAAAGAAACTGAAATCAGGAGGGAAAGGAAACTAAAAATAATTGGTTAGAATAAAATAAATCCTTACAGAACACTTCAAAGAAATCTGCACATATTAGTAAATATTGTAGCATTTCTGAAAATTAGTACTTTGTAGGATAGGATATCTTGCAGCACGTATGACAGCTTTTAAATGTCTTAAACATAGAGTTCACCAGTTGTTGTTATTGTTTTTTTTTTGGGGGGGGAGGGATATCTTGTATCAATGTTCCTCCATTCTTCCATCACTACAGTTTTCATTTTGGTTTTTAGTTTTGTTACATCTTTGTACTCCAACCATTAATAATATCCAAATATGTTCTATTAGGTTTAAATCTGGTGACTGAAGCCCTATTTTCAGAACTTGTGGACAATTATAGACACACTAAAGATGAATGTTACAGGCTGTGTGCTCAGGATTGTTATCCTAATAAATAGAGTTGTCTGTCTCCAAATACCCAAATTTTGGGTGGATAATTTTAAATTATCTTTTAAATATTTAAAAAAAGAGCATGGTTCATGACACAATCAATAAATACTAAATGCTGACATGCAACCCCACACAAGGGCACCTCCAACACCATGCTTTACTGTTCCAACTAAGGTCCTGGGATTGAGTTCCTTATTTTTTCTTCTTCATACAATTATACACACATTGGAAACCAAAATGTTTAAATTGCTTTCACTTGTAAATAAGATATGGTTCCAACACCTTCGGACTTATTTACCATTGATTTTACAACGGAAAGCCTAATTTTTGCACTTTCAAAAATTTTTTTTCGAGCAGAGCGGCCACGTAACCCACTTTATCTGAGTACTTGTTGAATAGTTTCAGGTGAAACTGAAGAATATTTTCCAGTAAATTCCGTAGAAATTTGTACAGCACTCAAAAGTTAATTTTTCACAGCATTCCTAACTATAAATCTGATCATGTTGAGTGAACTTTGTTGGACCTCCATCTAATGTCAAATGTTCCATCTAATTTTGTTTTTTAAAGCATTTTATCATATAATCCACCACAGAATGGTAAAATTTACTAATGTAGGGATATCACTAACTGATTTTCAACCTTTATGATGAAACAAACAATTTTCAAATGCTATTAATTGTTACCTTATGACTATGACCCATTTTAAAACATTAAATAAAATATAATGAAGTAAACAAGCAAAGAATAAAAACAAAATTTTTTTTTAATGTAACCAAAATGCAAGAAAGTAGCAGAAGATAATTTTATTGACGAAATTTTACGAAAATGTGTAGGTGTACGATCACTTTTGTGCCCTGTTTTATTTATGCTTCCTTACATTTTCTATTTCAGAAAAAGAAAATAAGTCAATATGTAAACAAACAAAAAAAGTTTCATTTTATTCAAAATCTCATGGAGATGATATGAAAAAATACTGGTCTTTATATTCAAATTCAATTCCAGGCTACAGTCATTTTTTGACAAATTATTGAAGTGTACAAACCCTTTTGAGAGCCACTGTATGTACAGCTTGGTGAGAAAATTCTAAAACGTATATAATGCAAGCATGTTATTTTGAACATTTTGACTATTTTAAAAAAGAACACCACATTTTAACATATATAAACAGTATATCACAGAGAATAAATTTATAAAAAGCACTCAAAACTTTAACAATTAAAATATAAGCATTATTTCAAGCTCTAGCAAAAATCACAACTTTTGAGACATACAAGTGACATATAAGAGATAGCCATAACTCACAAGCCACATGCAGCTTTCAGAGGCAAGTGGTGGGGTGGGCTCTTATGCAAATAAAATAGGTACTTGGGGTGTTATTGCAACCACCTTAGCAGAGTTACAATAAATAACGATACTTTATGAATCTTTTAAAAAAAGGTCACAAAAAACCCAGCTTGCAGCTGATAAGCAATTTTTACCTTTTCATCTCTAAAAAATCTTCAGATTGGGCCAAGATGGTTGCGTTAATACGTAAATACCGTAAAATATATATATGAAACATGGCAATCTAAAACTGTCCAAAAAAGTACTGTGATTTTGATTAGATAAGCCATAATGGCTTATATGTATTCAAAAATTGAAAATTAAGGTGTGTTGCATATCTGCAAGGGCAGAATATCTGAGGGAATTATTTTTTTCTCTGCTGTTAAAATTCCCTAATTTAAATCATAAGTTATGGTACAAGTGAAATGGTCCATTTAATGGAGAATGTAGAAGAATCCACAGTGACAATTTAGCTTGATAGGTACAACAGCTCACATTGCGCTAAGGCAGTACAACAAGTTTGAAGTCATGTGAAATTCATCTAACTACAATAAGGGTATGCTCCGTGTAAAGATACCTAAATGCATTTACTTTCTGCTGAATTACATGGTTTTGTCTATATTTTTGAATGACCATCTTCTTTTTAACAGGAACTTTTATTTCAGTTCAAGTTCTTACACATGTCTCAAACTTTGTGGCTTGTTCATCGCTTATTAGTTGCAGTGCTTTACTTTATCATTTGTGCTTATTATTATTATGATAATAGCTCCTACTGAAAGAAAAAGTTATACGGCTGCTTTTAAACTTTCGGCAGAGAAGAAAACAAAAGGAATTGAAAATCAAGCTGCGGTTAGAGAATTTCAAGTTAACAAAACATGCATTTGGCAGTGGAAGTCCAAACAAGAATTGGAGAAAATGCTTACGAATAAAAGATCTTGTCAGACTGGCATCATAACCTGGCTTATTTTGGAAGACAATTTAGAATAATAGATTATAAACAGACAAAAAGGGGGATTAATAGTGTCAACAGTTAAGATTTTGCCTTCAAGCAAAATTTAATTGCTCAACAAATGGGCACTAAAAGCTGTGCTGAAGACCTATTTGGTGTTTCAAGTTCATGAAATGGAAGACGTTTTTATCAGGACCAGAGCAACAGTTGGACAGAAGCTTTCCATGGATTAGTTTTAAAAAAATAGCTTTTATAGAGTACAATCTTAAGAAAATGAAAGATCATAAATTGAATAGAGGGCAAAAAATATGGATAAGCGCCCATTACTTTTGACTGTGCTCTGAACTGTTCATTCAACAGGTGAAAAAGATATTTCTGTGTTAAGAATCAAGCATGAAAAGACTTTTTCTTGAGTTTTGGGTTGTGCCGCAGTGGAGAGAAGCTAACCCCTTTAATAATTTTCAAAAGAAAAACAGTTCTCAAAGGAAACTTTCCTAAAGGTGTGATTACTTGCATCACCTAAAAAAGATGGATGTGTGAAGAAGTGTTGTTATGGCTGAGGCTGAGAGAAATTTATTAAGAAATGAAAGGTGCTTTTTACCAGCCTCAGGAACTCATTGTTCTGAATTCAACTTAATCCCATTTAGTGGATATGGTAATCCAAAGCAAAAAAAAACTTCGCACCAAGTTTGTTTGATACCTCAATGATATCAAGCATGCTTACAAGAATTTTACAGCCACTGGTTCTAATCATCAATCGAAGTTTCAAGTACGAATTATGAAAGCAGTGGCAGGAATGGATATGAAGCAGATTTCATTCCTTCACATATTCCAAATGGATGAGAACATCTTTGCATGAGGAAGTTGCTTTATGAGGGTCAATAAAGCATAGCAATCAATGTCAGCTGATATGATTGTATTAGCTTTCTTTAAATAAAAAAATCATCCGAAAAAAATTAAATGAAGATTGCAACATTGAAAGAACTGATTTAGAACACAGTGATAAAAATGACCTTGATGGCCATTTGTTCAGTTCATTTAATTCTGACACTGATGAGTCAGATTGTGAAGGTTTTGTACTAACAGTACTCAGTTTTGTACCAAGTTTATTTAAATTGTAAAATTCTGTATGATTAACTAATTTATGCATTCTTTTTCATAATATGGTAACTTATGGTGATAAACAAAGTTTCTCAAATTCGTAAAAATAGTGTCAATTAGAAATCAGTGGAGTTCGTTTTTGGCCAAGTTCAAGGTAAGATGTTATTTTTTTTTTTTTTTTTTCATTTATATATTCCTATTTATAGTTATGTAATAAAATGTCATCAACGATGATTACATCAATATAGAAAAGAATTACTGAATAAATGGGTATTAAGTTCTATGTTTTGGTATGCTTTTGCTGCAGCGTAAACGGCAGTGCAGCTTATCCAATATTCTTCTTATACGATAATTGCTAGCAGTGTATACGCTAGTAGGGCTTATCTACCCAAATTACAATAATTAATCTATTTCATTTCTTTTTAAAAAATTATGAATCCAATATAGGTGAATTAGACCTCTTAGAAAAAAACTTAATCTGTGTGCTGGGAATCTAGCTAAAAATGACTTGTCTCATTTCAAGAGGTTAAATTCAAAACCCTCAGTAAATGAAAAGAAGCTTAAGAATTATGAAGATGGCTTGG